ACAACATCACATAATAGTTTGACAACATAACATTACAGATTGAGGACACGATCAAACTACTTTCACAGAGTAAGATCATATTTGGTACATTTGGCGTTCCATACTTTTTGTATGGTGAATCTTCGAGGGTGGCCCTTAAAAGCTCCACCTTCCAGGTGGGATTCCAAGGCCGCACCGTACATACGAAACTTGTTTCATTGGAAATTACTGGGTAGCAGTAAGTCTAACAACCCATCGTCATGAATCGAAACAGCAAAGCCGTTTCTCGGCATGCATTACTGTCAAAAAACTTGAAAGTGAGTAGGAACAAAGATCGTGGAATAGGGAAACAGATCAACCATTGTTTGAGAGCGAGATGAGCCCTGCAATATGACTGTAAACAAATCTGGCACCTTCTCACGTTAGAATTAACAAATAAAACTGATTGGCTGAGTACGATCTACAACGACCATCTCGCAACGCTTGTAATATAATTTATGGCTGCGTCCCCAGACGCATTGGCTACGGACGACAGTAATACGCTCGCTTATAGGAAGTGGATTCAGCTAGCGGTTTGCATTAGTGTGGATGCACGTGTTATCCCAAGCCATAACTAATACATCCGGACTTAGTCTTAGCCATACATACGAAGGTAACCATCTTCTTGCAAGAGACAAGTGCCCTTTCAACCTCTAGAATGGTCCTTACAATGTCAAAGGCCTGAGAAAAAGGCATAGAGGAGTTATGCTCTTAAAATATGCCGACAGCCGGAGATTCCCAAAATAAGAGCGGGACTTGGAAAGGCAGTCAATTATGCTGGATATCACCGGACAATATAGGACAGCTACTAGGAACTTTTGCCTGTCTCCATCACTCTACCCACGGACGCTGGTAAGGGCTATGTAATCTCACAAAATGTTATGAAGGAAGCACAGACTTTGCAAAGCATTGTGGGTATAGCTCACTGTCATGATCATAGACATTCATCTGACAGCACCAACTTGATGCACGTGCATACATTCCGCGCACACGGTCATGTACTCTGAAGAAACTTGACGTTACCACGGCCCTTACAAGGTGCTGGGATGGGCTGCTATTTCAGTTTGCATGACAGGCTTTCTTCCAGGCATCACTGGCGAATAGCATTCATTTGACCAATAACACGGGTTAACACTTTTGTGCGCGCGTGACATGTCCGCGCTAAAAAGAAAATGCCCCCTCAACCATCCACAACGCTTCGCGAGTCTGGAGCTGAGACGCAATGCCAATGTTCCTTGGGAAAGGGATCAGTCAGGTTCCCGAAACAGAGATTCCCTGACGTCCTTGATAAATACAAGCGACGTATGGGGGCGCTGGCAACAAACGAATGGGGTCCAGTGGAATGGCAACCGGGGAAATCATCTGACACTAGGGCTCGTTAATATGTGTAATACCTACTACGGTGGCATTGACATACACCGTAAATCTTCATCGTTGACAGTAAGGGCGTGTCCGGAACGGGCTTTCAGAGCAACGGCTAGGTCTATTGTCTACGCTTTTCCACACATTTCCATTGGAGCGAAGACCTAGACGTAGCCCTACACAACAGATTCGGATGCAGCCTAAGCATACTGCTTCACTAAATGTGCTCTAGGTGGAGCCAGTGCCATATAAACTTTCGCATCGCAGCCAAGTGACTTGTACATGGCTATATTTTCCGCCGACAACGACGGTTTTGAGAAAAAAAATAATCGGGTATGCCACATCATAGAGCTAAAAAGGCCACATCATATAGCAGACCCCTCTAGCGACACTATTACAGAACGACAAGTACCTAGAGTAAAGCGTAGCTTGATAATCTTAACCACAACGCAAACATGGACAAGACAGATCACTATTTTAAACACGGAGCATCGTCGTAGGCATATCTGACATTACACATATCGTCGGTCCGACGGTAGTCGGCAAAGTTTCATTTCAATTTCCACCGAGCCATTGTTATTGCACATCTTGCGTTTCTTTGGGCAACACGGCCAACAGAAAATGAAGATGTCCTTGAACGCTTTCCGATATCTCTCGCTCATGATGTTATAAATGAACGGATTGACGGCAGAGTTGGTGTAAATCATGATCCGGGCGATGTTCACGAAGATCCAAATGAGATTCGGCGGGAGCACGTGGTCGTAGATGTTAATCAAGTTCAGAATCCGGAAGGGCGTTATGCAAATGATGTACACGACTATGGTGACGATGAGCATGCGCACAACTTGCTTCTTGAGGACATTTGAGGTTGCTCCCTCAAGCACTGTGACGTATGCACTTTTGGCTGACCTCTGGAGTTGGATCATTGTAAGCGTGTACAGAACGCAGGTGATTGGAATAACAGAGAGAAGCAGTAACTGGTCAAAGGTCAAGGTCTTACGGATGCGCACGCACTGGACCGAATTGCGCGGATGGCAGTACTCACAGTATTCAATCGACTGAGGGAGCCCCTCGGATGCATTCTCCAGCGGCACATGCCAGATAAGGGTATTCTTCGTCTTCACCGCGAATATCAGGGATGGGATTTTGTAGGTCAGCGAGAAGAACCACACGAGGGCGCAAAGCCAGATAGTCCGCCGTTTGGTGCTGAAGCGGCGGAATCGAAAGGGCCAACATGTGGCGATGTACCTCTCGAATGTCACCAGGATGACGATCAGGCCGGATGCGATCACCGCGCTGTCCGTCAGAAAAATACTGATCTTGCAGAACTCCGGGGGGAGATAAGTGTAGTCCCCAATTATGGGCGTGGTCAGGTACTGCACCCAGAACTGGGGGACGGAGAAAAGGAGGAATGTCAAGTCGGCGACGGCTAGGTTGATGAGGTAATGGTTGGTGACCGTTCGCATGTAGAGATAGCGAAAGAAAGCTATGATGACTGCACTGTTGCCCAGTACACCAATGGTGAAAATAATAGGCATGACCACAATAACGAGAACCTTGTCCACGAAGGAATACACGATCATCGGATAGTAGGTTTCATCCACGACGATCACATTACCGGACGGGGGCGCTGTGATCCCGTCGTCGGTTGTGTTCAGGAGATCGGCCTGCGCGTCTGTGACGTAGGGGCTCCAACTTGTTACCATGGCACCCGTCGACGATAGGTTAAGAGCTCCCGTCAGGTTCGCCATAGTGCTGAAAATGACAAGGAGGAGAGAAAAAAAAGACAAATTGATTTTTGTTTACTTACAATGCCGCAATTTCGGACTGTATCAGCAGGGAATTCGACAGCGTATGACCAAGTAAAACAGCAAGCGGGTGGTCATACGTAGGCTCAGTTTCTAAAGGGAAATCCCGGATGTCTGGAATGTTCTTTCCGGGTTTTTCCTTCGGGATTCATCTTGTAACTACCACACGAAAACTGAGACATCTGCTTTACAGAACCGGCTCAACACTGTCAACAACCTCCACATCAGATGATATAAAATAATACAATAGAACACTTAAATATCTGTCAATAGACAGTCAGATACAGAAACTCATTTGCTCAAACTCTAAAAATCTAACATCTTCAGTGTGCGAGAGTTTCAGGATGATCGCGTCCCATTTTGAAATCAACATCAGACGCGAGGTAATGTACCCAAAACTATGGTATGCTCCTCATGTTTTTGTGGATCAACCTTATCGCTTTGATTCCAGTGGAGACGACACCACCCTGAGGGTGTTTTTCCCACTTAAGCCACGTCTTATCTTATTCAGCTGAAACGAGCTTCGTTTGTCTCATCCCCCATCATATCTTTTACTACAATTTCATCATGCCACGGTCAGTGAAGCGAAAGATTCTCTTCAAGGAAAAGAAATGGGGTGATACGCCTATCGGGCATCGATGCATTCTGGAACCATGAGGCATTATCACTCTACGGGGGCTTCGCTGTGCTGCTGGGCATTCGGACCGTGCTCGAGAAAAGGAGCCAGACAGTGTCCGGGGGAGTAGGTCCTCTTCAAACTGACAAAATAAAAAGCACTCAAAGTGTTGGCCCATATGGCTTTCTCTACGTCACTGCATCAGTTTTAAGGATGACGCATCCATTTACTTGGGAAGATCTGGATGTTCTCAAGATGTGGAATTGTAAAATTAGGCCAACCGTGCAAAATAATAAAAACAGCAGAAAAAACCGAGAGTAAAGCACACTCTGTCTTGCACACAAATGGCATTGCTCAAACTTACAGAAGAAACTTATCTCAAAGTTATCTCGGTTTGGCACTGGGAGATATTATAACAATACTCATTTAGAACATCAGACAAATTGATGTTAAAGTGTTGACAGCTTTACTGGTTAAACCGGCAATTAATCTTCATGAAAGATACTTAATAGACCATCACAGTAACAACTGGGCTCCAGTCAGAACTAAATATCAAGGTTTTTTCGAAAAAAATCACAAAACCGGATGCTTTAAAGTGGGACTCCAAACTGTGCTGCGTATTGTTATATATAAATTTTTTTCAGGCAGCTCATGCCTTTTTCAAACTGGAAAAGTAGTTTTCACGAGTAAATATTCAGTTTTGGAAATCTGAGAGAAGTTTTATCCCCGACCCACCTCTGCTTCCTGTACATAATATTACAATCGACTTCGCCAAAGTGATACAAAAAATCGTTATAGCTCTTCACACTGAAGCAACGGAAACGGGAAATGGCGCTGGTCGAGAACTAGTCTTGACAGATTACAGGAGGTACCCAATTTCCATGTGTCTCAAGTCCGTACACAATTCAACTGTTTGCACATCGCCCCTCGAACGGTTTTCAATACACAGACGTCAAATTGAAAAAGTAAATTGCCTAAATGATCTTTTTCAAGAAACTGGGTTTTAAATAAATCTTAAGTCAGGGGTTCGTGTTCCAATGTAACGCGCTTTTTTAATGTAATGCAAAATCGACGACATCCTCTGCCGGATTTTAAAAAAAAGGTTCACTGAAAGTACAGGTAAGTTGAACACATGCGGTTCAACATTGAACAAAATGTTGACACGAAAGTGCAGTCCTTATAAAAAGGAAATGCGCAGGAATTTGTAACCAATACATATACCGCACACTGTGGCAGCCAGAAAAAATGCAATCAGGATACTTCCCGATAGAAAGCGACATCTCACACAGCACCGTCGTCACCAGAGTCATTGAGATTTGTTGAAATGTTGGTCACTATGTACACAATCCTCCGTACATCTGTCTAATCATATCAACTTCTCTCGTGATATAAGACCAGGTGCTGTGTTTGCAGGGCACTCTAATGTAAGAATGGACGACCTCTTTCCGTGGTTGTTGTCGCCATCATTAAGCCGTTCGTTGAGCAAATGGGTGCCATGTAAGAGCAAAGTGAACTTTTTCACGGTAAGTCGAGTTAGGTTGTTCTGGGGAGTCACCATTAATGAGCCTGCAACGTACCGGTCCTACCATTTCAGCAACTTTTAGCTGAGATGGTTCGTAATGACCCGGGTCACAAGGGTGAGTGTGTGTGGTGTGAACACGCTGAACGTGTTGTCTGCTTACTGTTGTTTGCGGGCAAACATGCCGAGGCATTTATCCCACTCCAATATAAACTGCTCACTTGAGAGCGAAAGCTCCGTTTAATCGCGAACAGGCCCAACCTGTCTGGCTTGAACAATCGCGCCCGTCCCTGGCACAGGGAAACGTTATCCGCCATGCAATTCCGACTTTGTCACCGATGTGACACCCGTGTGTTTGTCCAACTTTGCCGCTCCGAAAATCTTCGGCACGAACTGGCCAAGAAAACAAAATCTATGTCAAAGAGATCGTTCAACTCCCATCAAACACGAGCAGGCACTGATGAGCATGTCGCAGTACAAGGGCCCCCCCGAAGGTGAATCGAACCTATCACTAGCTGGCAGAAACCGCACAGGGCCCTCCATATTCCTTCTTCCGGCAACATCCAGGACAGGCTCCAAATCCTGCAGGGATTTTTTCCTTAATAGGACAAAATATTTTCCTCTTCCCCGTCAAATGTGCGCCGTAGGGATAGAACACGCCAATTTCAACTAGGGCGACTGTGACTTGACGATATATATAACCGAAGGCGCAGTGAAATGTTCAAGTGAATATTGAACAATGTCTGGCACCTGGTTACAGATAACAATAATTGGTCATAATTTAATTTCGAAAAAGATGAACGAGTGTTTTTTTGGGGGGGGGCCTAATTTTATTTGTCTGTTCGTTAGAGTCATGGGTGCACGTGGCCTACGGTATATTTCGGAAAGAGTAGAAAATTGGGCACTTCCCAAGTTTAAAGGAATTAAAAAGTTATAACATGGAGAAAATACCTGTAAGTTTTTTTTTTCAAGTGATAATTTTCAGCACGACAAATGGCAAGTATTTATCACAGCAGTGTGGGAATAAAGCAATGTCAAGTGACCTCTATTCCATTGAAAAGACATAAACTCAGTCGACAAACCAAACATCACTCTGGCGTGGAAGATGTGCTAGGGTTAGATCAGTAATCTTCTGATGTGAGGACGAAGTTTTCTGCAAAGCACTATCACAGTTTAATCCGTGTTGAGACACGCATCATGGTTTTCCCTCTTGATTGACAGACAGAAAAGGATTAGGCCTACACAAATGGCGGGACCGACTAAAAAAGAGAGAATAAGTTTCTTTGTTAAAGTGTTTGAGGAATCATGTACACACACAACGATGCGGGACTCGGTTAAGTGAACTGAAAATCCTTGGCTCCAAATATTTTGGGGTGAAAATCGAGTTTGGGGTTTGTTTTAAACGCATTAACTTCAAAAAACTTTTCTTTAAATTCCGGTTTTATAGAGTTCGTAAATGGGAAAACGTGCACGTAAACACCGATTAAGGCACAACCGAGACATGGCATTGCACCCTACTGCACGGTTAAAGATCCCCTGTTTGACGTTTGCAAATACGTAGCATTTACTCTTACTTGACAACTACCACAAGTGACAATGAACAAACACAACCACACAATAAGGAAAGACCTAACTCCGTTGTGGAAGATTTCACCAATCTTGACATCTGCTATAGAGATGCACGCCTTTCAATCACGGGTCCTCCCACTGGCCAGCTCCGACATCCGCACAAAAAACCCAGAGCAGCTCGTACCACCCTTCACAACTTAACGAGGCTCAGCACGAACTGTCGCCCCGATGGGGTGCTCGGTATTTTCCTTTAAAAGGGAGCGTGGCCTATTACGCACTACTGGTGTCATTCAAGCGTGTTGGGGATGTATCTGGGAGATACAAAGAGGCAACATCCTCTCTCTCTCTGCGCCCGGTAATGAGCTCCAGAAACCACTCGTCAAATCCACTCAAGTGTTTTTCATTCAGGGCGAGCTTGTTTCCCGTGTGCCCGTCCAACGGCACAGCAGAGGTCTGCAGTCACAGAGGGAAGGTGCTTTTCCATTCGCCCGCCGCCAGGCCCTCGTGACTCGTCCTGGGGAGGAAGGGCACGGTGGACTTGATGAAAATCTAACCACTGGGACATGACGGGATCGACATCAACACTCGAGTCACCAACTTCGGAGATGTCAGCTCGGAGACCTGGGAAACTCATGTTATGCAGATACGAGGGGAAGAAATCAGGAAGCCTCTCGGGGACACTTCACAGTTAGACTCGTGGTGCACAGAACTACATGTAGTTAAATTATCTTTTCATAATGTCCATTATCTGCAAATCCCATGGATGGCAAGAGACAAGAATTATTTATAAGACTGGGAGGCCCTCATTATTTTCGTGAGGAACAGTTCACAGCGATTTTAGCTGAAACTGCATAAATAAGTCCATGCAGAAGGATTTGATGTCCCTCAGTTCTTGAGTAAAAGGGCATGTCCCCAGGGTTGTGTGAGTCCACAGAAAAAAACATTCCCCCTGACAAAACCTTTTACAGCGGGATATGGACGATTCGAATTACCATCAGAGTTCTACTGACAGAAGTTCGCCTCCTCTCAAGCGAGCGATAAGCCAATACATTATACCGCACAGTATTTTGACTTGCACAACAGCTTGAAATGGGTAACTGCTCTCCTCAGAATTCCCGCTAATTTTTAGACACGCCATCACATCCCCCACCTGCCTCTCACGCCCGTTGCTGCTTTCAGTTTTGTCCTGCACGAACGAAATGCCGAGGCACCAAAGCATCACATCGTTTACAAGTCTTAGCCA